CTCCTCTCGACGGCGGATGAAAGGTGATGGCTACAGCCCCAGGCAAAAGACCCTCATGGACTAGCGACCACATAGAGAGGGAGATAGGCTACTGCAACAGGGATGACCTTGATTCACTAACCAGGAGTGGATGAAACTATAGAGTGCCAGCGAGATCGCATAGACAGTTGAGGCAACTTCCTAGAATTTCAGTTCGCCTCCGCACGTCCCAAACAGCGCGGAGACATAGGGGAAGGTGGGGGCGCGAGCGGAGAAAATAACAAGTTTAACGTACAAGATTTTTTCTTCGACTGGCCCACGCGTAAGTCAATTATAGTTCCGCGCCGACTAGGTGGTAGCAGTGCTGAGAGCAACTGTTCGTCCAGACGAGACTTTGAGGCGGCAGGGGTTTGCAGTCCGGCAGCGAGACGAAACTCGCCTACTGAGCCTTCGCTGGTCTCCAGCACTGCCTTACCGACCACGATCCGCGAGGCAGACAAAGCTTCCGCACAAACGGCTATGTAAGTCTAAGGTGAATCGTAGGAGAAAAAGGAGAGGCGGTAGGAACAGGAAAATACATGGGCAAAACGTATGAAAAAATTAATACTCTGGAGGGGTAGCGTATAAATCAGAAGAGCATTATGTGCTGATTTAGAAAAATGTGCAACCACGTACAGATTTATTAGGATGATGGTAAGTGATAAGGGGGAAACGGCCGTCGCGCCGAAACTGGGCCGATTCACGCAGCAGGTCGTCAGAGATACAGGAGAGGGTCAAAATCTCACGCGGGTAGGAGGGACAGACCTAGATAAAAGCGAGTGCACGAAAAGTAAGTTGTTAGGATGAGGTTTGATTTGTACAAGGCACAATTAATGTTCACTATGACTTCTGAGGACTGTAAGTGACTATGCTTATCGGCGACTGATAATTCGACAGTCGCAGACGATTATGACCACACGGGCCATTCGCAGCACCGGCGGCATGCGCTTGGATTAGTTTATAATATAGCAGAGTAACGCAGAATTTACCACACTTTCTTTCCTTATCCCTCGGGCTTCGAGAGTAACACAACGTCCAGATGATCTTTCGACGTCCACACAATTTCTTATAACAGAGACCCATACTTCTTTGTCCAAGAATGGTTCTTCGACGACAATCAGTCTGTTATATTTTGCCTAGGAACACTGAAATAACTTGAACCCACTGTTCTCTTTAAGTCGTTTGATTAAATTTCCCAGTGTTAAAGATACTTTAGACATTTTACCGACGTAAAACTTTAAAAAGAGGAGTGAACAGCTTTCTAGCATCCCACTGCGTGTGAACTGTGGTTCTGGAGAAACGGGGTTTAACAGTATTCTGTGGTGAGATCGCAACGGGTGGAACGTCACAAGAAAAATTAGATCCAATATTCGGGTCTAAGGTAGATTCCGGTTTTTTTGCGGTTCGCGGAGTCTAAATCAATAATAAAAAAAGTTGTTACTGACAAACACAGGGACCAATTCTGACTTATTTGTCGTCAGTGGACGGTGATGACTGAATCTCGGGTTTCACAACCTAGACTCGACCTCCCGAGTCAGACAGGCTTGCATCGTGTCAGCTGAGATCTAAAATATTCGTCACATCTGAGTGGTGGTCGTGACTTGCTTTACCTTAGGAAGAGGACTTTTATGCCGATTGTAATTTTATTTAACGGGTGATCGAGAGGGGCGACTAAGGCCACGCTTTTGTGGCTCCAACAGACTTGAACCGTGCAACCGAAACTACAGTCCTGAAATAAACTCGTTATTTTTAGGCGCTCCGGAAAAGATTAAGAACAAATTAAAATAATGGGCAGTTATTTATTCTAGAAGAGTATGATTGGCTAACGACGGATAATGTCATAGATTTGCGTCTGCAGTGATCACTTGCGTCGCAAATTGTTATAACCTTGTGTGTTCCTGTGTCAACACTGGTTATATCCCCCAGTGGCGTGTTAGGAAGAGAAGGCAGAACAGGGTAGCAGATAATATTTTACTGTCACAGTTCCTGCTAGTACACCAGCTCTCTCTTCTGTGTGTCCTCTGTTGTCAGCAGTGTGTATTCTGTCGTCGGTAGCGCGCTCTCGTGTGGGCCAGCTTTCGAATTTGAGCTGCCGGTTTTTTTTGCTCTCCATTCACGTGGGAAT